CAATAAGTTTACCCAACAACTTCTGATAATCTTGGCTCCTCCCGAGCACTCTACATAACTTTCGCTAACAACAACTTCACCGGTCCCATTCCGGCGAGTATCGGGAAAGCTCCGTTTTTACTCGAGATTCTGTTATTGAACAACCAGCTCAGTGGTTGCTTACCATACGAGATCGGCTTCTTGATGAACCTCACCGTCTTCGACGCCGGCGACAATATCTTGACCGGCACGATACCGTACTCGTTTGCATGCTTGCAGAAAATCGAGTTCCTCAACTTGGCCAACAACATGTTTTACGGGGAGGTGCCGGAGAGCGTCTGCATGTTACCGAATCTGAGAAACTTGTCTCTTTCCGGCAACTTTTTCACTCAGATCGGACCGGAGTGCCGGAAGTTGATGTACCAGAAGAGACTTGACGTGAGGAGGAACTGCATTATCGATCAAGCTGATCAGAGATCGAAAGCTGAGTGTGCTGCGTTCTACTCAAGACGCTATATCTGCCAGAAAGCGAAATATATGAAACTGATTCCATGCAAGAACGCAGATTATCATTCGAACTCATCAATGGCGGAAATGAATAAGAAGGTGAAGAAAGCAAATCCTCCATCTCCGGTTTCCTACGGTGCTCTTTCGCCGAACCGGTTGTGAGTTCTCGGTTTCTCGTTTGCATGGGGTCATCGCATTGATTGGGGATGCCAGAGTACTGTTAATTAATAATTAAATGTGTGCAGTTGCAGGAATTTATTGCGAGCAAGGAACAATGAATATATATATATATATACATATTTCTTTTGAAAGATGATGAGATGGAGTTGAATTCTTATTTTCTTAATATACTTATTAATAATTCATACATATATAGTAACCTTAAATAATACATAAATATCAATTATAACACAATAAAAAATAAAATCTAATTCAAACGATAAGTAAGTGTTCCAAAATTATTCATGAGCCTTCTTTATAAAGTTCTACAAGAAAAAAAAAAGTAACAAAACACATAAAATACAAAAAAATCCGAGAACGATAGAGAGAAATCTATTAATAGGGTTTTCGAGATTATCTAATTTCTAACTCTTCAAATGAAAAAGATAGTTACTTATATTTCGGGTAAATAAACAATCGAGCTCACATTTTCTTTATCACTCGTGGGCTTAACCGGCCCTTTTTCCTATAGCCTTCGGCTCGGCCAGCCCAATATCTTTAACACGAATATTTTTACTTTTTAAAACAAGTAATATAAATCCGAGTAATTTATTGTACGTGTTATATATGTTTTTATTACAAGTTTGTATTCATTAAGCTTCATTAATAAAATACAAGGAAAATTAATTATATACTATAGTATATAGCAATTATAAATATAATTTTTATTACACTTATATTTTCTTTCTCGATTTTGGACTTGTTAGTGGGCCGAATGGCAAATACGACGTCGTTATGGACAAAGGGACTAGTGTATTTGTATTGGGATTTTTCTAATTAATAATTTATTAACAAAATTAGATATAATAATGAATAAAATATTTTTGAACACGTTGGAAAATTTGGGTTACACGAGGGATAAATTAATATTTGTAATTTTCGAAATTTTATATTATTAATTAATTTTCACTAATTTATTTATTTTTTGGTTAAATAACAATAAAATTTGAAAATTAATATAAACATTTTCATAATATTGTTTTAAAAATTGAAACATTTAAAATTTGGGGTGTTTTATAAGTGTTTAGGTAATTCAGGGGGCTTTTGCAAATTTAAAGAGTTTAGGGACTTAAATGAAAAAAAATTTCAAATCAAGAAATTAATCCCTAAATCCCAACGCATCCCACTAAATTACAGATAAACTTACATCATCTGAATAGAGAGAGAGAGAGAGAGAGAGGGAAATACAGCTGAGCAGTGATGCCGACTGAGGAGAGTTTGGGTGGGAGACAGTCAGGGGTCTAGGGCGAAGGAGGCATTGCGTGGAATCTCGTTGGAGAACAGACACGGACGGAAAGGGTTGAGAAGGAGGGATCATCCCTGCAAAGCAAGATTGATCGGAGGTAAGAGGTAGGTGAAATTTGACTTTCAAAACCTGGATTTGAAATTATGAGTACTAAATTTCTCCGCAAAAATTATTATGAATGCTTGGTGGAACTGATGTGACTGTTTGTAGAGTTTTATTGATTATATACGTTGATAGGAAGAGAGTTGAGCATGCGGAGAATAAACTGACTTCTAATAGAAAGGAAGAAATGTGATTGGTCTGAGGTTAGGGAACTTTAATCTGATTTGGTGGAGAATGGAAAATGAGCTTGAATTGAATTCTGAAAACTTATTATCTGTTTAGGGTGGTGAAAGAAGAATGAGTTGGAATTAAATACAGAGGGCTTTTAATAGGTTTAGGGTGGGGAGAAGAATGTTGAATTGAAGGTCAATCCAAAGAGATGTTACCATGTTTAGTGTGGATGAAGAAAAATGAATTGGAAGTCAATTTTAGGGAGCTTGTGACTGCTTAGAGTAGGAAAGTGGTAGACAGATCAGAGTTGGGAAAATTTCCAGAATGGAAGGGTAAAATGCCAAGTAAGATCGAATAAAAAAATATATAAAAAAAAAGGAAGAGAAAATCGACGGATTATATAGGTACATGAGTATGCTGTAGTTCTTGGCTACATATTTCTCAAACCCTTTTGTTAGAAATAGCTTGTTATTCATTGATGTTTATGGTTGAAATCTGCTTGATGAATTATTGTTAGATAATTACCTTAAATTCATGCAGATTTGAGTGTTTAGGTGCATGTTATGAGCTTTTCAGAAGACAAAATTGATCTAGGTATAAATTCACAAATCAAGTTTAAGATATGGATGGTTTAAATGATCCTGAGGTATGGTTTTCTAAGTTTCTTTAGAGACTGATCTGGTATTTATTATGGATGCTTGGTGGTTTCTCTTGATACGGATGGATATATTCGGAATGGTTGTATATATGATCGTATATATATGTGTGCGTATAGGAGTGTGACTGTGTGAGCTTATATAAATACGCAGAGTGTAGAGTGTGTTGGCTCGCCTGCTTGGGCCGAGGAGTGAAAATGCAAATTGTTGTGTGTGTTTGGTCCGCCTACTTGGGTCGATGGGGCGAAAACCACGAATGGCTGTGTGTGTTGGCCCACCTGCTTGGGCCGAGGGGTGAAATCCCGAATGGTTGTGTGTGTTGGCCTGTCTGCTTGGGTCGAGGGGTTAAACCCCGAATGGTTATGTGTGTATTGTGCATATGTTTGTTGGCAGCAGAATATGCCGGAAGGAATTGGTGTTTTTGCGATCTCCAGATCACTGGGTACATACTTGTTGAGTGATCTTAGCTTTACCATAAGGGGGATGGTGAGCAAGGATGGCCTGGGCATGTTATGGAGCATTTTTTCGTTAAGGGATTGAGGAGTAGGTGTTAATGAGTATTGACAGAAGCTATGAAATTAGCAAATTGAAGGTTGGCGATCAGAATAAAGTGTAAATGAGATGAATTTAGGAAATGTGAGCAATGGGCAGGCAGTGTAAGATGTTGGGAGTACAAGGCGAGTGAAAGTTTGGTGTAGTAATTTCAGTTTGCTTGTTTTGATTTTCAAATTCTACTTACCGAACAAGTATAGCTCATTATTTTATTATCACATGACAGATAAAGCGAGAGCAAGATCGAGAAGTGTTGGAGACGAGCCATACTACTTCGAGCTTGCAATAACATTTTTTTTTAGCTACCTTTGGACTTCGATTCCTCGAGGAATATACTGAAATAATACTTGTATAACTGAGACAGAAATGGGTTTTCTTTTTCTTACCATTAGAGTTATGCAGGACGATAGATTCTAGAATGATGTATAAACACATATGCAAAATAAAATTGTCATTATGGATCTATTCATGGTTATATACTTCCTCTGTAAGTTGTATGACACCCTGCCTCCTCTAGGGGTACGGGTGAAACGATGAATCATATAAATCGACACTTATTTATTAATAAACTAAATTAATTATTTGATTATAATTTTTATTATTATTTTTTTAAAAAATTAAATTATATAATTTCCATATTAGATTATACTAATTAATAAAATAATAAAATAAACTGAATTAAGGGTTACTTCTATTTTTTTTAAATAATGCGAGATAAAATATTTAACTCACTAAAAATATGAATTATTTCTTAAATATATCAAGAAAAATATGAGGTTTATTTGTAATTAAATATATAAATGTTTTTAATAAGATTAACATAACCCAAAATTAATCAAACTAAGTTAGGCATTAAGAAGGCATGTAATTAATCAATGTCGTGATTACTTATATATTTGTATGTATGTATGTATGTATGTATATTGGGCAAAATGATTACTTATATAGTTTTATGTGAGTGATTCATTCTCAATTAAAGATGAGCGTGATCTAGCTAATGGTTGGCGCACTAATTTGATCTCAATTGATCGAGTTGTATGAACCAAATGGTTGTCAGTAATCATAATTACATATATATATATATATATATATAATTGGTGAAGTTATATTTTCAAATTATAAATATTCTTTATATAAAATTTATAAATTTATAATGTACTATTATGGTCTAATAGTATTTACCTCATTATTTGATGATTTTTAATTTCATATATCATATATATGTATATACATTAGCAATAATAAAGAAATAAAATAATATGGATTATGGGATTTTAATTTTTTATATTCCGGAAGGCATCATGTACATAAATCTCATATTCATAAATTATTCAATATATACATATATACATTAATCATCATGTCATAATAAAAAAAATATATAAATAAAAGTATAATTTAACTAAAAATTATAATTTTTATTAAAAAAAATTAAGTGTTTTAAAAATTAAGAACATAAATGAGGATATAGAATTCTCCTAATACACACTCTCCATACATACATACACGCACACTCATAAATATATATCAATAACAACGGATATATAATATGCTATATATTTGTATATGCAGAATATGTGCGTTCCAAGGATTCCCATAAATGGAAACCAGCTACTAATTTAGTTAAAGAAAACTAAATCATATTCCCAACTTCGACGTGAAAATATATAATTAACTCTTGAGTGAATATATTAACCCACATATAATTAACTAACTAAAGGAGAAAGAAATGTATATATACATATATTTATATATATACACGTATATATTATATATTAATGTATATGCTCCACTAAGGCAAATCAAAAGCAAGTTTGAAACTCTAATGTCATTTCAGAGTGAGTTGGGCCTTCAACAACCACACTAACCATTAACATTATACATATCCTATTTGTATATATATATATATATATATATATATATATATATATAATGGACTCTTAATTTCTTATGATCTTCTTGATTTTTCTTCCCCGCAGATGAAATGGACATTCACATTTTCAAGCTCATGAAAACTAGAAGCTTGATCAACATCTTCATCGTCTTCTTCCTTCCATTTTCAACTTTCTCTGCACATTCTCAGTTGATCCCTGATCTTCCATTACCTCCTCTTCCATTAATACCAGAGCTCTTGAACTTCTTAGACCAGAGACTCGCCATTGTTTACCCCATAATCCAAACCTTCAAGAACACAATTACATTAGATCCGCTAGGCATAACCAACACATGGGTCGGCTCCGATATCTGCAAGTACAAAGGTTTTTTCTGCGATAATCCGCCGGACAATCTCTCTGCAACCACCGTAGCTTCCATCGACTTCAATGGCTTCCATCTTTCCGCACCGACCCTCGATGGTTTCATCGATCAACTCCCTGATCTCGCAATCTTCCACGCAAACTCCAACAACTTCTCCGGGACCATCTCTTCCAAAATCTCAAACCTCCCGTACTTATACGAGCTGGATTTAAGTAACAACGATCTCGCCGGCGTGTTTCCGGCGGCAGTTCTTCGCATGAAAAGTCTGTACTTTTTGGACATAAGATTCAACTCCTTCACCGGAACAGTCCCACCGGAGATCTTCATGAAAGATCTTGGAGTTCTCTTCCTTAACAACAACAACTTCATGCAGAACCTACCGGCGAACATCGGAGACACGCCGGCGGTTTTCCTCACATTAGCCAACAATCATTTCACGGGTCAAATCCCGCGGAGCATCGGCGATGCTTCGTCGACGTTGACCGAAGTTTTGTTGTTGAATAACCAGTTGACGGGTTGTCTTCCTTACGAGATAGGGTTTCTAAAAGAACTCAGACTTTTGGACGCCGGAAACAATTTGTTGACCGGCCCATTACCGTGTTCTCTAGGTTGTTTGTGGAAGATCGAGCAGCTGAACCTCGCCGGAAACTTGCTCTACGGAAGGGTACCGGAGATAATATGCAGGCTTGGGAACTTGATGAATTTATCCTTGTCCGGTAACTATTTTACCGGAGTCGGTCCTATTTGCCGGAGGTTAATAAAAAGTGGGGTTCTTGATGCGAGGGGAAATTGTGTTCGTGATCTTCCTGATCAGAGACCGGCTGGAGAATGCTTGAAGTTCTTTTTGCAGCGCAAGGTTTGTCCTCGTCCGACGTCGTTTAGTATCATTCCTTGCAGTGGTAATACTGTAAATTTACATGATTATAAGAGAGGAGGGTCAGGAAGGAGATCAGAGTGGGTTACTTATAATACTCTAACAAGACATTTATAAGTGATTATGAGCTTTTTGTGTGAGGCTTAATGATAATTAACATATATATATATATATATATATATATGAACTATAATTATAGTGTCTTTTCTTTTATTGAAAATTACTTGCAAATAATTGCTTAACGGGTTATACGTAGTAATATATATATATATATATATATATATTTATGAACTATAATTTTAGTGTCTAGTTATATTATCAATCATGTGTATTGAATTATAACAATCAGTGATTTTCTAGGGTGATTACATAGTAAAATGAAAGTAATTACAGAGGGTTATATATGTACATCCATATATATATATATATATATATATATATTTGTACCTATACGTATGTATGTATGCGTAATCATGACATCAACGAGCTAAATATAACTCGTGCTTGAAATTTATTATCTATTATTAAATATCTAAATTTGACTTGCACTAATCTTGGAAGTAAATTGCTTGATATATACCTAATGTAAATATTCAAGTAAGGTTTTAATTATGGGTTATTTAGTGGCATGGATCCATATACACTCACATATTATATAAACGTATATATAGTGATATAGTTTATATATGGAGTGTATATGTAGAGAGAGAGAGAGAGAGAGAGAGAGAGAGAGAGAGAGAACCGAAAGATATAAAACAATTAAGGTTAAGATGGTCGGTGAAAATTCAAGAATAACATATAGTAGTGGGATGATGATTATAATTCAGAATACATATACATATACACTACATATATTGACACGTTACAGTCTTGGATATATATAATAGTGAGAAATAGGCAAAGATTGCGGGAAGTGTGGTTGTGGATGGAAAAATGTCAACCCAAATCATGTCACGTATATAATTATATACATATGTATATATATATATATATATATAGATATAAGTGTGTGTGTGTGTATCTAATAGTCAATGTGGGAATTTAGGTTAGGCATTAAAGATTAAGACATGGATTGACTATTCTGTGCATGCCTTATGTGCTGTCTAATTCTGAAATTCAAGTGAGGTGTTATGATTGTTATATGTGAGATTTATTAATTCTCTTTTCTTACATTAAAGTTACTAAATAAATTAAATTATATCATAATCAATTAGAAATTCGCACGTATCAATTCTATAGTTTTTTAAAATAATTTTATTTTATTATTTAAAAAAATAAAAATTAAACCTTAATATTATGATAAGATACATAGTATTTATTTATGTAAAAAATTTATAATTATTTAAAATTTTATAAAAATCAAATTAATTTTTCAAAAACTTATATTTTCACCGTTTGACTGTTAAAACCTTATATATATATATATATATATATATATATATATATATATGTGGTGGTGGAGATCATAATTTTGAGGGTACTGTGGACTTACCAGACAACATATGGTTCAATGGACACCCACTAGCCAGAAAGTCTATCAATGAACATGGGCTTCATACAAGCCTATAAAAATTGAACCCTTCTCAACCCACTATATATTTTTTATGCATTCTTTAAATTTTTTTTAAAAAATAATTTTGACAAATTATGTAAAATTAAATCAAATCAGCTGTCCAAAAAGTCAATAAAAATATTCTAGTTTTAAATTAAAATATATTTTTAAAAAACTTAGTCTAAAATAAAGTCAATCTAACCGGTTCATCTCAATTTCAATTTGATCATTTGGTATTACCAAATTATTTTTAGTATTTTTTTTGGAATTAAATTCTTAATTCTTATCAGTAATAACTCAATATTTAAGAGGACGAAAAATTAATTATTACAATTAAAAAAAATAAATTTAGATTTATACGCTGTAAATGGGTTTTTTCTTTACAAATTTTTGCATTCGATTTAGAATTTTATTAATTAATATATGTACACACATAGATATACATATACATATATAGGGTGTGGCCCCATAAAAATCTTGACATAATGCCTTATGTTATGGAAAAGATACCATTAATCTCTTCCATGCATTATGTGTTCATGGCCTCCCTCCAACCATAGCAAATACAGTCTGTCCCAATAAATTCCCAAGGCCATAGCAGTACAATACTCGCACGTGTGGTTCGCAAAATCGTGTAAACCCCTAATTGCAACACCCTACGCGCGCGTCCACTGATCACTTACCGTGTTCCCTCACCGACATATCTCTTTCGCTAATTCAGAGTCCGTAACGTACGCTTGACTCACCCGGAGCACGTGATCGTATAAAGCCAAAAGATTGTAATGTAAAAAGCATGTAATATGCCGAATAAACCCGACCCGACCGACCCGAACCGAATATTCGACATCTTAAAGGTACAGACTTTCAGTTTCCACTCATGTCTCTCACCGACAGCTCGACTGGCTTTGACATCTTACCACCTCGTGGTCTACTCTTTTTTTGAAATTTAAAATTTAAAACTAATGAAAATTTCTTGTTGGTTTGCAGAGAAAACTGAAGAATTAAATTAAAGTGAAAGAAAAAACTTTATTTCTTTTGTGGGTTCGATGAAGATGTAAAGAAAAGAGCATACTTCAGCTCTAATGGTTTTTATCTTTTATTGTTTTATTACCAGCCAAACAACCCTTGTTCTTATATAATTAATAGTAGAGGGATCTTACGAAATTCAAAATTCCCACCCTTTCTCGGGAAACAAACACGAGTTTCTGTGTAAATCCCAAATCTTGGTTTTTGATTTCGGTACAGCTTTAACATTTTAGCCAACCCTTTACTGAAAAAAGAAAAATATCCAAAACAAACGGTAAGCGAAGATAGAAGAAAACATGTAATAGATACAATGGTGATAATTACAAAAAGCGCCTATGTATAAGTACACGTCTCAGTCATCACTCACATCGTCGGAATCGTCGTCGTCACCTTCTGTTCCCGGTGACGGCGACGAGGAGGAGCTGGTTTTGTTACTACAAAACTCAAATCTATCAGGCTCGGTTCTTTCCACAACAAAATGAGCCAGAGAATCCACTACCTCCACCAAATTCTCCTCGCAGAGAAACTCCTCGCTGTAAATTTTTTCCACTTCGCGACCAAAATCGTGAACGAACACGTGGGTTTTCTTCTTCGACGCGGCTGAATTTTTCTTGGTCCTCGCCAAGACCGCCGACGTGAAAATCGACGACATCCGGCCGGGAGCGTCTGGGGAATACCCGCGCGGGCCGTCGACCAAGATGACATCCCAGTCGATATCGTAAATATGATTGGGCAAGTCGTTGATGCCGAGTTTGCAGTCGGAGAAGAGAAGATTCTGCACTGGTTTACACTCGCTGCTCATTTGGGTTTTCGCGAGGGTGAGCAGCGAGTTCATTTGGGAGACCTTGGTGGTGTACTGAACGTCGTAGGCTTCGATGTGGGGATGGATTTTCTCGAAGTTGGAGACGAAGTACTCGTTCTCATCGACGAAGACGGTGCGGCCGAGGAAGTTGAGAGATCTCCAGAGGAGAGTCTCGTGGGTGAGTCCGAAGACGAGGAAGTTGCAAGGGGAGAGCTTGCGGATGACGGAGAAGACGGCGGAGAGCTCGGCGGAGGACATCTTGGTGGAAGAGGCATTTGAGGTGGCGGCGTAATGGAGGAGCGCGGTGGCGATGGAGGGCGGGAGGACGGTGGAGGGAGAGGAAGGGAAGGCGGTGGAGATGGATGAGGAAGGAGACGAAGAATTAATGGCGGTGGAGAAGAGAGTGAGAGTGAAAATCAGAGTGAAGAAAGCGATGAAGAAGAAGACCCAGAGACGGTGGGAAGACGCCGTCGTTTTGTGGTTGATCGACGGGTGGAGGAGGATGAGCTTTGTGTTGCCGTTGCTCTTCATCTCTGAAATTCTGAAAATCCTAAAATTCTCAGAGAAGGAAAATTGAAATCTGAGAAATGAAACTGAGAGATACGACGGGATTTTAGGGGCGAGATAACAGGTGGGACCTACTGGGATTTTTCTTTACTAACAGGTGGGACCCATGGTCAATTTAAAACGCAGTGAAGAAGGCCATGACCGACTGCGGCGAGTGAGTGAATAATCCGGCGTCGTTTCCTCCTGTTTTCCAGGCTTTTGTTTTCGTCACCATCATCGCTCGACCATTAGTTTACCCGAAATCCATATTTTTAAAATTTTAAATATTCATTAATTATTTTCCACATTAATTAATTAATTAGTGACAAATTGACAGTGACTATCCGTCCTATGAAATGCTTTTTCAAAATTTTACTAAATAATTATAAAAAAATGGTTACATAAGATGAATGTCATAAATATAAATTATTTTATTCTGAAATAATAATAATTAAAATAACAGTAAAAGACTAACAAAATGATAATGATGGTTGAACGGGGAACTAAAGTGAAATATAAATTTAAAGGGGGGAGTTGACTAAATATATTAAAAATATAGCTACTTAATTTACATAATTAATTTATTAATAAAAAATTTATAATATCTAATTTCTCAGTAAATGAATATCAATCCACATGTCAAATGTAAGATTTCAATTTTTAAAATTTTTGCGGAAAAAACCATTTCAAATATTTTTTAAAATTCCAATCAATAATCAACTTTTGATTTAAACCAAACAAATTATTTATTTTCAGTTTAAAAATTACTTCACTATTTTGCATTTGGGTATATGTAATGAATTTTGTAGGACAAAAATTATTGTAATTAAATATTTCCTTTTTATGAGAAAAAATATATTATTAATGTGCATAAAGGTATTTTATTATATGTGGCAAATAATTTGATATGGGCACATGAGCATATCATAATTATCTTTTTCGAAAAAAGACAGAATGTTGGTTGGTAATTTTTCTATACAAAAAAAAAAAAAGATCTGTAGTAATAAATTATATAGGTTGAATGTGCATATAGTGTATATTTACATATATATATATATAAGAATTAATTGATGTTTCAGGTTATAATTATCATTAATTAATAATTTAATAAATGCCCACCATTTTCTAGATTTACCAACAAAGTTTAATATATTTCAATGTCATATATGTGATACATATTTGCTACTATGCTTCTATTTTAGGGAATTTTTCTTTTTCTATTTTGCTTTCATTATTTGCCGTATTTAAAGTTAATAGTATCTTGAGGAGGATAGGTAGTCAATGGAACAAAATGACAAATAATAAAAAATATTACTTTCTATTTCAATAATTTGGAAATAAGAAATAAATAACTCATTTTAATTTGCTTATAATCATTATTCACTCATTTATCATTTAAAATAAATCAATTCTTTTTTTAAAACTCATTTATACATCATTAAATTTATAAAATATAGATACACAAAAAGTGTTGTTCAAGTTATAGAAAAATTATAAGATAATAACTTAAAATATTATAGCATTATAAATATATATATATATATTACATAATTGAGATATAACAAATTTAATGAGAATTTAATAGATTATACAAAAGCCAACAATAAACTTATCAATATTTGAACATATAATTTATTATTTAATAATCAAATTATTCATTAGTACTTGATTTTTGACTAAAATGGTATTTGTTTATATCTACAAAAGTGGAAGTTAAGAATTTAATTTTAATTTAATATAAGAACGAAAAAAATAAGGTATTTGATAATTATTTATTTTATTTTTCTAATAAGTAAATATGTAAAAAAAAAAAAATTAAGGTTAAATTGTCCAATTATTCCGGAATTTACGGGTAATTTCAGTTAAAGGTTGTTACATGGCGAAAACATGAAGACTTATTTTCATTGCACGTTTATCCACGTGCGACTAAAAGCCTGTGTTTTTGGCTGCATATTTGATTCCTCTTTTCACAAATATTCAGAATTAAAGAACAAAAAAAAAAAAAAAAACACAGTAAGTGTTTGCTTTTTTTTACTCAATATTATAATTAATTATTAATTTCTCTTAAATTTTAATTATACAAAAGAATATGAATATCTGACTGAAGTCAGATTAATTTCATGCTTAATTTAAATAAAATACTTTTGTTATTTATGAGAATATAAATAGAAGTAGTTTAATATGTATAATTCCTGTAACTAGTAAAATATCATTATAAAATATATAATATTTAATTTAAACAATAATATGAATGCCGTTGGGTTTGTCACTTTTGCACTATCCATGATGGTAATGATTCTCTAAAGACATTATACAATTTTAAAAGTAAGCACTTTTTAATTATTATAATAATATTTTTTAGATGGTAGTCCACTTTTTTTTTTTAAAAAAAATGAGAATTGAGGATTTTAAAGTACCTTGATTGAGATTTGGACCAGATTATTTACGTGAAAGAGAATTTTGAATCAGATTTGGGTTTTATTAATTTAGACTCCAAAAAGCAACAAGCAATAGTTTGAAAATATATTATTATATATTAAACATGTATCATAGCAGTATATGTGCATTTGGAGTCTTCATCTTATCTTATACTATTACATAGTATAAAAATACCTTAAGATTTATTTAGTTTAATTAATTTACATATTTAATATATAATTAAATAAATTTTATCTGTATGTTTAAGGGATTTACACTAAAAGTATAATTGTACTTTCTTCGTATTAATATTAATGTTAATGATTGTTATAAGCTTGTTACTTTGGTGCTCATTTGAAGATGGTATGACTACATGAGCATTTATGTTTTAAAAAGTTGCAAGGTATATACTATGTAATAACTGAGTTATAAATAATAATAATAATATACATGTATAGAAGAGGGGGAGGAGTGAGAAGGGACACTTCAGATTTGAATGATTTAGTAGGTTGGGTATAAATAGGATGAAGAGAAAAAAAAAAGGGAGAAGAGAGAAGAGGCAATCAGTCAAGGACTTCAGAGAGAATCGGAGAAGGAGGAGACGATTAAGGTGATTAAGTGAGTTGTGGCTGTATTGAGGATGATGGAAACAAGAGGTATTGCAAATTCGAATTTTAAACACTGAAATGACAATTTATAGTTAAATTTTAACATAGAAATGCATATTTTATATTGAACTCTAGATGAGAGAGAGTAGATTAATTGTAACACCCAACATTTTATTCATTTTTATTTTTATTTTTTATATAAATATAATTATTATTTAATTGAATATAATTTATTTTAATTTGATTCAATGAAAATAATAATAATAATATTAATAAAAAGGATGAAAAAAATAATTAAGGATTTAATTTAAATAATTTTGGGAAAAATGGATGAAAATTTGAGTTTTAGAGGTATTTTTGAAAGAAAAATAAAAAACTGGAAGTAAAAACACAATTTAGAAAAGTTACGCCACGTCAATTGCCCAGTCAGCAGTCCTGACCAATCAGGACGCACCAGGTGGCAGAGGTGCTGATGCAGGAGACCACGCAGGGGGAGTCACATGGGCGATTCATGTGCGTGCGATCGAACGGTTGAGATCTATTCTCGCGCGCACGGACAGTCCAGATCGAAAACGCGCACGGACAGCACAGATTGCATCGTGCACGGACGGTACAGATTGAATCGCGCACGGACGGCGCAGATTGAATCGCGCACGGACGGCGCAGATTGAATCGCGCACGGACGGCGCAGATTGAATCGCGCACAGACGACCCAGATTCACTCTCTATTTAATCGCGATCGGACAGTTCATATCAAAAGCGATGGACGACCCAGATAAAAAACAGATGGGTATAAATAACCCCATCCGCACCCAAACTCAAACCCTAGCCGCCAAAGCCCCTCGCAGGAGAAGAAAACCCAACTGCCGGGGAATCGACTGCTGCCACTCGATGCCATACCGGAGCAATTTCTAACCGCTAAATAAAGTAAAAATTTCCCCTATTGCACGAAATTCAATTTTAAACCCACCCATGGCCAAATCAGAGTGAAAGAATCGGCTAATTGGCCGAAAAATACCGCGGGGTGTTTCAAAAAATGCTTCCGATGAGCCCCTTTCCGATTCCCGTTCGATGTAATTTTTCTACCGTTGTGATCACCATTTCCTTCTCTACAGGCTGACCGAAGCAAAACACCCAACCACAACGTGAGCTGGAGGAGCCGCTGCACCGGAGAGCCCTACCGCCGGTGAGTTTCGATTTTCTACATTTTTTTGGCCCACCGAAAGCCCTAAGTGTGTTTTCTTGCAGGAACCGATGCAAGTTTGGTTGAATTCGGTAAAAAATGGACGAAAACAGCCAACTCAAGGCGGGTCACCGGAGCACAGCTGAGCCGCCTTGTTGGATTTCTGAAATTGGCCGAGTGGGCTCTGGGACTGATTTTTGGGTTTATTTGGGACACTTGTAGGTACTGTAAGCGCGTTTCAGTTCTCAAAGGAAAATTCAGGGAACATAGGGACCGCCCGTAGGCGCAGTAACCATATAGTTTTCGGCGTTAAATCAAGTAAGGACCTCTCACCCTATTTCCTATCATGGAATTAAAGTTCAAATAAATAATAATACAGTCCTTTGTACAAATTAAATGGATGTGCTTGATTAATTACGGATTGCTAATGGAGCTTAAATCAGACATTATTTTCTATCGATTACTGTTGATTTATTGTACAGCCTAAAAGTATGATGATATCTGGTTTATATATTATATGATTTAAATGCATGTATTACTGTCTTATTTGACTATTGTTTGATTTTGGGAATCTAAAATATGATTGCATTGTTAGATGCACGTTACTTGTTTATGTATTTATGTTTAATTTGGTGACGGAGACCAAGGACAAACAGGAATGGGATGTGATCTGATAAATGGATAAGATAACAGCTTCACTAGATATCCTAGGAGATGGTGGACAGACCGGGTTCATAGAGAACCCTACCGTGAATGTTGTCTCATACCGGACGGGGTATAGGGACGACCCGCTTCACCCTCATACCGGACGGGGTATTGAGGTTTAATGTCATGGCACTCATACCGGATGAGGTATGGAACGACCCTGGAATTAAGATTGTTAAGGAAAATAGTTCACGTGTAGGGAGGACACCCTTATAGATCCCCAT